ATTTTTAAAATTATCAGCTTTGATAGTGATGGTTTTCTTGGCAACAGTAATTATTAATCCTCTTCAAATGCAGTAATGGTATTTATTATAATAAACTTTTTCTTCCTGTCACACCCAGGAAACTCAGTATTACAAGCCCAAGTGGTAAGAATACTTCTAAAAATAATTTTAAATTAACTCGTGTTGAGCCTTTTACTGACATTGGAAGTAAGCCTGTGAATGACCTGTTCTTTTCAAATTATTTCATTGAAGTTACGTAGACTTTGAGGCTGGAAAAATGTAATCCCTAGCTGGCTTTCCACTTAATGCATAACCTTAAATCATCTGGTTGCATAATTAACATAGTTTCTTTAAGTTGATATTTTCTTATTTTTTATCCCCCCAAAGACTATATATGCCAAAGCTGGGTGACTAATCTGCAGCCCTCAGGCTTGGTTTTGGTCAAACATTCCTCTAGGTTGTATAGCACTTGTCTGTCCATTTTCTGTACAGAGGTTAACTTGTGGTTGCTGTGATGCTGAACACTGTGACACCAATGTGCCAAATAAGATAATGGTTACCCATGGTGGACCGTGTTTGGTGGCGCTCCCTGATTAAAACAAGCTTGGAAGTAGGAGTGACATCTACTTCCAAAATAGCTTGCCTCCAGCAACCCTATGAACTTGGAGAAACGGTGAAAGTTTTAAGTGTTCAGGCCTTTCGTTCATAGGGTCTCTATGGGTCGCCTACAACTCGAAGGCACTTAACAACAGTGATAGGATTTCCTATCAGTACCATTGGTGCTGGAATTAGAAGTCAGGTTCAGGAGCACAGGGACTTTGTTTACTAGTTTTGTGCTGTGGATGTGAATGAGGAGTTACCCATTGTGGAGGAGAGGTCAGAAGCAGCTATATCCATGCCACCCCCACTCTTGTTACAGCCACATATTTCACATCCTTCTCTTTTCTGTTGCTACAGGTAAACTGAATAGCCATTTGCAAGCTTTTAAAATTCCAGGCATTATGCAAGGAAACATTATTAGACTAGTTTACTGGGCAGTCCCATGAAACCAAGACCCGAAATTTTCAAACCAAGGAACCAAACCCAGTGAGTTATTTGGTTACCCATAGCCCAGCAGATACTTTTTATTTCATTGATGTGGAGATGCCAACAGCTAATTTGCCATGTAAGTTAATTTTTTAAAAAAGCATTCATAAAGACAAATTCCTTTATCTCAATTAGCAGGTGTGTGTGTGTGTGGGGGGGGTATAGAATCAAAGAACTTCTCTAAAAGCAGAAGATCCCATGAAAACAGAAATGTTCTTTGTGGAAGTTTTACAATCATTCCCCACGATTTCTACCACTACGCTACCTCCAGTTGCTATCTCTTCCCACTTGTGGCAATCCATGTGTCAGAACTGTTTTCAGAAGATTACCAGACCTTTCTGTCTAGGGGTTTCTGGGTGCAATTAAATTTCCAATGTTTTCATTAGCAGCCAAATCCTTTCCGTCACTTGGGGACTCCTTTTTTTACTTCTTTTTCAATGCAGAATGTAAATTCTTCGCCCCCCCCATAAATTTTATTTTATTGCTGAGGATATTTACACAAATCAACAGTTTTGCATGTACAATTTAGTGATATTGATTACATTTCTCAAATTGCACAGCCTTTATCTTCTGAGTTGTTCTTCCATTGGGGACACAGTTCAAAAAGCATTTATCTTAATTATGTTCACATTTTATCTGTATTTTCCATACCTGGCACGTACTACTTAATATTCATTTAATGTTGGTTTCTGTTCTTGAAATTGAAGCAGTTGGACGAGATTGTCTTGTTTCAGCTGTTACTTCTAAAGCTGCTATTTCCCCTTCTGCAGTGCATTCTCAAAGAGTTCTGGTAGTATAGGTGCAACTTACTAGGCTGCTAACCAAAGGTCTGATGTTCAAATCCAGCTGCTCCATGGGAGAAAGATGGACAGTTGCCTCCTGTTAAGATTTATAGCCTCAGAAATCGTGTGGAAGGTGACAGTGAATCAACCAACTCAGTAGCTGTGGGGTTGGTTTATTAGCCTAAAGTGTAGCTGTTTCCCTGTCTAGTACTCACTCCCAATCAGGTCATCTTTAATCCAACTGGAAGATAAAACAGTACAAGTAGTATACCAAGGTTCAGAGCAGTGTTTTTCACCATCGCAAGAACACGGAAACAGCCCAATGTCCAACCACAAACAAATGGATTGAGAAATTATGATATATTCACACAATGGAATACTATGCAGCATGCAGCAGCAATAACTTTGTAAATTATTACCTAACATGGGAGAGACTGGAGAGCATTATGCTGAATGAACTTAGTCCCATAAGGATAAATACTGTATAAGACCATTATTGTAGAATGAGTATAATGAACCAGGAGGGATGGGAGAGGCTGGAAGCAGAGGGATGTGGATGTGCAGGGGGAAGAGGAGATTAATCACTAGGTTGTACAATTTGATGGGTCAGGGGTAAGGAAAATTCAAAGAATTTGTTCAAATTTGTATTAGAATTTTGTAAATAAACTAGTGGGGAAAAACCCACAACAAAAAAACAGTACAAGTAGTGCTGGCACAGAGAGGGAGGCATATACCTAGAAACTATTCTTTGAGGAAGTGTTGGTTGCTGCTGAAGCCAGGTCTTCCCTCTTGCAAGTGGTTTGCTTCTCTAACATTCAATAAAAATACTAACTAAAAAGGTAGATAGAAGCAAACCAGACTTCAGCACAGTTCTTAGTAATATTAACAAATGTCCTACACATTATAGGTGCTATAGCAGAATATTCCGTTGAGCCTCCTACTGACCCAAGAATCATGCAGCTCTACACAGTAGCCCGTTGAACCTACACAACTCCAGCCATCTCCGTGAGAAGATCCTGCACAGCTGAGCACACAGATTTTTTTAAATGTACTTCAGTCATTACAATTTATTTGGTTACAATGATTTTATTTTAGAAGTCCAATCAATTATTTTGATCATTATACACAACCCAACAGATACAATAAAATCATTAACTCCCTGAAAAATGTTACAGCTAAATCAGAGGAATAATGTTGACAACTCCAATATTTAATACTGTGCTCAACATGAGATGCAAAATTCAACTATGGATAGGAGATCCAAGAAGTGTGATTTTTTTTTTCCCCCCTTGAACTAAATTTAGATAATGAGATGATGGTAAATTCTATGCGGAAGTAGTAATAATTTGTAGTGTATTTTTTTGTTACAAACTTTACATCTGTATCTATGGATACTGTTTCTTTTAATTCAAGAATATACTACCAGACATTTTAAATATTTTCTACTAACTATAAAAATAGAGTCAGATAAGAACGGTGTAAAATAATTTCTTTTAGAAAAATAAAATATTCAGGGAACTTTATTTTTAAAGGTCAAATCAGACACAGCTTTCATTTATCCAAACATGCATAATTCATCCTTATTAAAAAATGTGCTCAACTGGTAAATTACACGAAATATAGAGGAAATGAAATGTAACATATGTAAAGACTGCCATCTACAGCAATTAACCAGTTAAAATTCATAAAGTCGTTGCATATATTAAAAAAAAAATCCAACATTTTAAAGCCAATTTTATATAGTAAATCAAGGGACATTCTAATATGGAATGATTTAACCCAAAGCAAAAATTAAGGCACCTGCTATGAATTTAATTTAGGGCTATAATTTTAAAAGTTTTAATAATGAATTAGAATCAGTTAACCAAGAAAACTGTTTCAGGGAGGAAACAAGTACAAGGGTTGATTTACTGGTAAGAATGGTAGGTAAAATGCAATTGACGACCTGCTGGCCCAAAGTCTGCTGAGTCCTTTCCTATTCTTTCATTATGAGCAGCTCAGTCAATTCTTAAAATACCCACCCCTCGCCCTTACTCGCCCCTATTCAGGGTCATCAGCTCTCTAGGAGGTTCATACTGTATAACACTAGGTAACAAATTTCCTTTCTGTCCCTCTTAAAGCAGTTTCTTTTTGAGATATACTGAGGCAATCAGCAAAACACAGCAGCAGCTTTCTTTCCAATTCATTATCACACCTCTTGGAACTTTTCTTTTACCAAGTTACGCCTAAATACTTGCAATTCTTCCATTATCACTTGAAACCAAAAACCTTACACCACTCTTTACCCTATCATTAAAATCTAATCATAACCTTTAAAATCACACAGCAAAGGGAAGACTAAAGACTGATTCTTACAAGGAAGTTCATTCAATTCTAAATGTTGTTCTAGTCTGATTATCTAGACATTATAATCATAAATATAGAAAAAGCATTTCCAAACTAAAGCGTAACTTTTAATTTTGTAGATATGCCTTTTTGGTATTAAAAGTGCTATTAACATGCTAAGATGTCTTATGGCACGATGGATTCAATAGCATGTCATGATGAGGCATTATTTGTAGTAGTATTTTTCCCTAAGATTTTCTCTAGCATAGTAAACCCTTTTAATACATTATAATTCTAGAGAAACCAGCGATTACATAAATCTTCCCTGACTTTGCTCCACCATAGAAGTTTTAGTGAATCTGAAATGACAAAATACTCAACTGAACTGGGGGTTTTTAAATGTTCATGCACAATCCAAGGTAGTGTAATAGAAATATTATTACAGATGTGGCTATAAGCATCTCCCCTTATATTAGGCTTCTAGAAGCCTTTCAAAATTTTTAGGTGCTATATGTTGTGGTAAAATTAGGCTGTGTAGCTGTTAGCACTACACAGTTATAAGCACTATTACAGGACAGTTACAGGACCCTACAAAGAAGTGTGCTTTAAAGAGATAGTAGAAATAAAGTGCCTATCTATAAAAAAACCAGATTCCAAATTTTAAATTAAACTAATTGCATTTACACATGAGGGCTAACAAAAATCTAGACCTTGTCTACATAAATTTACCTAATTATCCACACTGCATACAATTTTAACCACCGTAGCTTGTCATTGAATTTTATTGCTTTATTCATGTGGTGCTTTTGCAAGGCACTGTGTGGCATGGACTAGAAACCTTGGAATGACTTGTGAAGAAACCTTGGAATGACACATGAAGGATGATATGAGAAGTCATTCTGGGCAGGATGCTTTACTTAATTGTTTTTAACCAGGGTATCAAACATCAGGAATGAGTTCAAGTTAAAATTCACAGGAGAATGGATACGTCTTAAGGTTCAGTCACTTCACATGCCCATCCTGATACTTTGAATAATCTGGAAAATCGCTGTAAAGAAAAAGATCAAACATTAAAACATGATGCTTTAAATAAAATAAGTCTAAAGATGCACAAGTCTTAAGGGAGTTCAAGAACGCTGTGTAACTTTACTATAAGAAGAAGGGGTGGAGGCAGTGAAGATAAGTTTACTTTAACAAAACAATAAAAATGCCTGTAAATTATTCTTTAAAAAATCTCTACTCTGAATGTTCAAGAAGATTACAAACAGCTAACCGTTTCAGAAAGGAGGGGGAAATCACCAAAGAAATCAGGTTTTTCCAGTACAAAATTATTCTGGTCTTTTTTTAAGAGATGGCCCACAATATATAAAAAGCTTCCTTATTGTCACGTTGCTGAAATTCAATAATCTTTAGGTTATATAAAATGCTTGGGTCTCAGCCATCTATCAGAAAGCCTTCCAAATTAGCTACCTCGCAGAAAAAGTAAAGTGATATATTAAACACCAAAATACGTAAACCTGAAAACACCTACTCCAACATGAACAGGCTACAATTACAACTATAAATGAAATGAGGAAAGACAATCTGTAACTCATCTGAGAAGGCTACTTCATTCTGTGACAGCTGGCTGTCCTAATTCTTCCTACCATATGTCAAACTCTTAAAGCTCTAAAACATGCTTACCTCACACATTAAATTACAAATCAGCTACGGTTTCCTTACTGTGAGCTCCCCCTACACCAGCTCTACTTAATACCCACTTCTGATGGATGAATTTAACATAAATCAGAATCTAAACTCTAACAACTGTATCTACATAACGTTCACCCATATGCACTTTCACTTCATAAACAAACTTCTTGGCAAGCACACTGATAAAATTCCAAACAGGCTAAATTCTCATTTTGTGTGTTTTAGGGTGGTTTTCTGTCTTTCCCATATTTAGTTTTGGTCTTAAATTCCTTCCAACGGGTCCATTACCAGTCCTTTCTGATCTCCTGCAAGTCAAGCTGGGAGACGTTTCTGGAGCACCATTCTGTGCGCGTTAAGTGGGACAAATAAAATTGGTGTAAAAGCAGTAAGAGTTCCGGCAGGTGGGCTGGGAACCTGGCGGGTTAAGACTCGCGACTGAGAGGTCACCACGTCATCCCAAACCCCGCCATCGACCCACCCGCAAAACACACTTACCAGAGCCGCAGACGACAAAGATGAAAAGAGCCAACAGCCAGGGTCCGACAGAAGCCTTTTCTTCGGGAGCATTTCTCTGCAAATATGGAAAAGGCAGTTTTTCGGGACGCCGAGCAAGCCCTCGGCCGCGAGCTCTTGCAGCCTGCCCCGGGGTCCCGGGGTCCCGGGGTCCCGGGGTCCCAGGCTCCAGCGCCTCCCTGCACCTTCCCAGCTCCCGCACCCACACCCGGGCCCCCACCGCCCATCGCCCCGGGACCTCACCGAGGTCTTGGCTACGTTGCCGCGCTGGGTGATGTTCTTGCTGTGCTTCTCATTGGCCATCCGGATCCGCTGCTTGGCGACCATCTTCGCGGCGCTACCAACTGCCCCCCGGCACTCCTCGGCCTGGCTCGCTCGCCTTCCCGTAGGCAGCCGCGCGGCTTCGCTCGTGGAGAGGGTGTCTCCGCCTCCGAAGTGAGGAGGCTTCCCAGGCGGGACGCGAGCTCCAACCTCTGAGCCTGGGCGCGGCGCGCTTTACGGGGCTGAGTACTAAGCAGGGCGCCGGCCGCCGACGGACGGACAACGCCGGACCGGCCCGGCCGAGCGAGATGAACGCGAGGAGAGGAGCGAAGAGGCCGCCGGGCCGTGCTCGCACTGCCACTGCTGCTACTGCCGCCGCCGGGAGCGTGGACTGAAAGAGGAAGGAAGAGCAACGCAATAACCGGACGGTGCAGCACCGCCGCCCCGAAGTGCTCAGGTTAGCCTGCCAACGTCAGCAGTGGGCGGGCTCCGGGCCGCGGAAGTGCAGGCATTGCCCGTGGCGGAGCAAAAAGGAGGCGGGAGGAGGTGGCTACGCACCGCTCGTTCATGCGCCCGCGACCTATATAACGTACCGCCGGCGCTGCGCCTGCGCAGACAGACACCTGCGCCCAGACCGGAAGTAAACGTGCCCCTGGGGCAAGTAATACCGGAAGTACCTACTCTACCGGAAGTTCTCCTCTCCACGCCTGAGTAGACGTGTAGGGCCAAGGTTCGGCCTGTGCACACTTTGACCTGCGCGCGTAAGTTTCTCTTTCCGGAGCAAGATGGCTCCGTCCACGCCGCTCCTGGCTGGTGAGTTTTGGGCAAGCAAAGCGTTCTTTTTTATTCTCAGCAATTTCTTTTTGGTGGCTTTCGCAGCAATTTCTTTTTTGAGCTTTGGCAAAGTTCGCTTCGCTGTTTCTGTGCGTTGCCGTAGGGCCCGAGGGCTTTTTTGGGTTTCACGCTGTAGGAAGTGAGCCTCCGCTCCCCAGCTCCTACTGTCTGGACGCGTTCATCGGCTTTTCCTCTCTTTCCCATCTTGTACAGGAATAGGAGACAGGTAGAACAGACAGTGCTGATCGGCTATGTGATCTCCTGGATTAGTAATACGGGTGTTACGTTTGTCCTTATCTCTTGATAGTTCCGGTTGTCAGTGTGAAATGATCCTGACTTTGTACCCACTTTGAATGCAGTCGAACTTTAAGTAGTGCCTGTTAGGTTAGGTTAGGTAGTGGACTTAAAGAAGAAATCAGAGAGAACGAGAGAAAGCTTAATGCAGCTTTATTAAAGGGGGGTGGGGGTGGAAGGGGAGCTCCCGGGTGAGTTCCTCATCCTAGAGAGGCAGAATGGGAAGTCACACTGAGAACTTACTGGGAAGGATTTTTATCAACAGAGTCTTTAGGGAGGGACATTCCACTCTGATTTACGAGCCACCTGCTAGCTTAGCCAGGCAGGCAAGGTCATTTGCCTTCTTATCTGAAGCAGGCAAAGCTATCAACATTTGAGTTCTGAATTCTTCATTCTTCTCTTTGGCCTCTTTGCCCAGACTAACACCTTAGACTCTTTTTAGTGATAAAACAGGGCGACGTATCTTTCTTTGGGCTACTTCCTGCTGATCAGGGGCGACGATCTGGGGGTTCAGAGCCTGGAGTGAGTCAGTCTGGGATTAGTGGCCAGGGGAGAATTAACGTGGTCATCTTCTTGATCCTGTGAAGTAAAAACTTAAAGAGACATGGAGTGATTAATAACAGTATGCTTATGATTACTATTGGTCTCAGAGAAGGAAAATTTAAGTTAGAGATGAGTTTTTGAGTTAATTTGGGAGAAGGCTGTGATTGAATTCTGTATAGAGTCTTATTACATCAAAAGTGTTGTCCTGGTTTAGCTACAGTGCGCTTGTTTATGCTGGCATTGTGTATACAGTTTTCATGTTTCACTGCAGAGGCTGTTAGATGCAAGTGGGCTTAGTGTTCTTATTTGGGCTTTGGTTTTCAGAAGGGAATGTGTTCTTGAGTGGTGGAACACTCAGTTTGG